TAAAGGCACTGATCAAGTGGTTGGAAGCCGGTGCAGTTGTGGTATCGTCATTGGTGGACCAGACCCCTCATCGCGCTGGGAATTTGGTTGAAGCCGAATTTTCATGTTCCCCCACCAATGATGCTCAACGACGTATTCAAAACCGTGCAGCCCCTAGCCATCGTGATCACTGCCTTCAGAGATCTTTTTCAGAGAGTTCGACCGGTCACTGCAGCTGCCGCCAGTCAACAGCGGCAAACATTGTCAAAGAAGCGTCCCAAGCGCAATCCAGAGGCAAGCAGAAGAAAACTGATCAGAGATTTTGAAGTTTCAAACGTTGAGAAGAGTTGTGCGCAGCGAGCCCATAACGTCCTCTTACATAGTATGAAAACTGCAGGCTTTGCAGTGTGGGCTAGACAAAAACAGGCTTAAAGTTGAGGAGGATATTCGGCGTGAGTCGGAACGGCGCTCATTCGATAACTGGCGAGCTAATTGAGCACTATTGGGTGAACGACAGGACCCTCCATATCGTTCAAACTTCTGAAGAGCCCATGAAGGACAACACTCCAAACAACCTTCTAGCTCGGTGATGGAACGAGCTGCAGCATCCGACGCTTGCCACACACAAATGATTTTCACACGCGTTGGAGCAAAAACCTAACCCAAATACTACTGACGGTACAACTTCGAGAAAATCTGTCGTATTCAGATCGATAGGATTCACCAGCGAGACGATAGGCTGTTGGGTCGAAATCGGTACGAAGCTGAAACCGAGCTAGTTTGCCCAATTCCATGCCGATTGAGGGATAGCCAGGTATTTCCCAGATTCGTGAGAAAGGTGGGTTATTGGTTGTAGATGATACTGAAATTGAATTCCTGCACAAAATGAGAGCACTGTGGGTATGCCAAACGGAACGGTGGAATGGAAAAGGAGGATGTATGTGGGTAAGAAAGATGGTGAATTATGGCCATGAAGGAATGATTCCAAGGTGCCGAAATTTGTAGGTTACACAGCTTGACCGAATCGCTAAACGCTGCCCTGTCTGGGACTGGCTGAAGGATGTCATTTGGGCATTAGTCAGTGGGGCACGTTTGAAGAAATTTATTAATTGAGCTGGTTATACCAGTGAGAACTTCTAACTGCTTTTCGCTAAGGTGTGGCTAAACGCTGTGGTAGCATCGAGTTAGGATCCTATCAGGTTAAAAATGGGCAACATTTGAATAGATTGGCACCTTACTTATACCCCACCCTGTAATTCGGCAACCATTTAGGCATCTTCTCAAAACCCAAGAAAACGCGCAAAGCACGGATTTTCAATCATTTACCCTTTTTCCTTCAAAAAACAGTGAGGGTTCCAAAAATTCCACTTCTTATAATGTCAATCAAAAGATCAAATAAATATATTTCAGGTTAAAATTCTAAATCAGTTAGGTTGATGAGGATTTGAAAATAAAATTACTTGAGCTGATAGGGATTCCTTAAAAACCCGTATAGGAATTTCGTAAATAGTATTTTT